TTTACATCGTTACAACTACTTAGACATGAAGGATGAAACACAATGCCGATACTTGTTGAATAAATAATAGATAATCATAATTATTAAATATATTAATAGAATATATATATATAATATTATTCGGTTTTTTAATTAACTTCCCTTTTGATATAGATTTTCAGGGGATAGGAATATCAAAATCCATTTCAGTTCAATTCATTTCATTTCAGTCTGTAAGTTTTTACATGTGCAAAATACGTCGACTGCGAATCTTGATTACATGATATGTGGCTGGGGTATTTTTAAAATTTTGAAATATAGAGCATTCAAGACTAAATACAATATGTTTCAGAAAAATTTAAATAGATTTTATGAAACTTGTTGGTCCCGGTGAAAATTGAACCCACGATGCGTTATTTATTATCCAAACATTGGATGCAACGGATCGGAAATAATTATGAATTTCCTTATTAATAATTCAATTAAATTGTTTCTTTCCCTATTTGAACCAGTTGCAAATACTGCGAGAGTGGCATTGTGAATCTGATTAGATTACAGTGAGGAGAAGAAAACATTTTATATCACGTTGATATGAAGGAATATAAATGTGTGCCTCTCAAAAGATTGTTCACTTGAGTTTTTTTTCCTGAATCAAACGGACATTGGTTCTGTGTTTGTTTATTAGCGAGTTTACGCACGACAGGTAAATCGGTTTTTATAAAGATCAGTTGAATTTATAAATCTTATCTCGGTACTTCTGCATTTAGGTCATTTAATGACACTGTGAGTGCATTCCGCTTCTTTTCAATTTATCTTATATGTGTCGGTTTAAGTGGAACTATAACGGTTCTTTATAAGAATTTATTTTGATAATCCTTAACGTAAGTTATTTGAAAGTGATTAAGTTGGTCATTACGATCTAACTTAGCATAGTGTTTCTTACTGTGTCTCCTTATTATTTACTACTTTTTACCTTCTAGAAATATTTAATACCGCTTAAAACTTAAATAATATCAATGTCTGATAACTTAGGGGACCTAGTGAATTTATATATTAAACAAATGCGCTTCTATAAAATTTTTAACTTCTATATAATCGGTTAGAACTACAGTACGGAACGCTGTGGATGCAGGTTCAAGCCCGTGCTGTAAAAGTTTTTTATTCTAATATCGATTTTTAAATTTCTTATAATTAAGCTCTTAGTGATGTGAAAATAGTATAAAGTAGTGTCTACTAAAAGCTTAAATATATAACTACAATAAATATTCTAGAAGCAAGTCTAAAAAATTATCTGTATTTAAGATCTAGAGACAGATTCAAACAATCTGTTAGATAAAAAGTGTAGTGTTTTAAAGATCGAGGTCAATTGTAATCCTACAAAAAATATGTATTTGACACCGTATTATTTTTAATGATAGCGTAGGACACGGGGTTCGCTTGATGGTAGCTGCCATATATACCAAATACCAAAGCCTATAGCATCTTAACAAGACACGCCGTCAACCTATTTTGACTTTGGATATTCGGGAATCCACCGAGATTACCTGAAATGTAAACGTGATTAAACTTCACGGGTTTTTATCTGTGGGCGGTGGTTCGTGTCCCGGATGGAACTTCGATATTCCTACCACCACTAACCACTATGTTGCTTGAATACACGGTTTATTCTTACTAGCCTGAACGATCAGAAATACAGCAGTTGTTATATACAGTGTGTTATATTTTATAACAAAATAATATAATAGTGACAATTTAAGTTATTACAAATTATTTATTTAATTGCTCCACTTCATAAGTTTCTTAAAAAAAGGATAACCGTTCTTACCCTTTTGTTTATGAAGCCCAAAAGGTTTACATATAAATACATTTCGACAATATATATTACTATACTTTAGGGGGAGATATAGATGTCGGATTAACAAAACCTGTTATTAGAAAGTGTATAATACAATTTAATGATACTTTGAGGAGAAGTTTCCTTACGTAGCTTTTCAAAACTACCTTGAACATAAATTATTTGGAATATTTAAGTAATTATGTAATTTAAGTATTTAAGTAATTATTACTTCAAACACAGTGTTAAAAGTTCTCTGATGAACGGGTCTTCCGGTGACCACGGCTGCTGCAAAGCATCTGAAACGTCGGGCCGTAGTAAAAATATTTTTTTAAATAAGTTTAGCAAATATTTATTGTTTTTTAAACAGTTAAAGTGTTTTAAATTAAATTTTATATTCCATAAGAAATATAAGTATTTGAATTCACTAGACCAACCAGGACGGTCTTCACAGAGGGGCAACAAACGGATTTTGTATTAACTAACTAACTAACTTAACTTAACTTTTTAAATCTTTCTAGTTCTTTGTATATAATGCGTACTCGAAGGGCACAGTAATCAATAACAATGAGTATTGCCTTAAAATCCTTAGATATGTAGGGCAGAGATAACACATGTATCTCAATTATGCAAGTAGAATGTTTCATTCAGATTACAAACTGCATTTGCATGCAATTTCATAAGTAAGTAATTAATATCTACTGTTCCATTTCTCCTGCGAAGATACGCTTTGAGGGTTACTCAAATAGTGAAAAAAGGACTCTTATTTACTTTGTTTTATTTTAAATTATTATATTCGTATTTTGTTTCATTTTGGTAAATTATCTATATTTTTCATGTGTTGTCTTTTCGTTGTTTTTATACGACTCTTCTCTGTCCGCAAAAATTTTCACAGATAAAGATCAAAGATTTTATATCATTTAAAGATGAATCTTTCTTTCTTACATATTTTTGGGTATCTTTGACCGTTTTTACAGCGTACGCTTTCGAAACCCATAACGATGAATAATTTTGTTTGTTGTATAAGTCACAGGCCGATATTTTATAGCCTATAGCCTTACTTCATAAGTGTTCTAACCAAAACAAAAAAATCGAACAAGAAGAAAATTCGAACCAGTAGTTCCTGAGATTAGCGCGCTTAAACACAAACTCTTCAGCTTTATATATTCGTACAGATAAAACACTTTTAACCGGGGGACTGAAGATGGAGGTTGTCCCTAATGTCAAAGTCAAAATTTGCCGCGAAAACTGAGTGTAGTAGAGCAGCAGATTTTGACTTTGACATTAGGGACAACCTCCATCTTCAGTCCTCTGAGACCGCGACTGCTGCAAAGCATGCGAAACGTCGAGCAGAAGTTAAAATAAATTTATACATTTCGTGTTTTGAATCGTTAAATGTGTATGTATGTAAATTAAACATAATGTGCGTTGTTTAAACTACGCACATTACGTTTATTTTTTTTGGAACCAATTAAAACTGACCGATTTTGTTGACTTTTCACCATAAAAACAAACCACCATATCACCATATAAAAAAACACCATGATATATAAAAATAGGGCAGATAAATGCCATTTGAACAATTAAACCGAAGCCTTCTCGCACCATTCATTGATTAAACAGACAATAAATAAGACAAAGCGATGTACCCGTATGTCTTTGTGTGTTAAGGCCTCTTCAAACAGACAACGAACTTAGCGCATTACAGGTGATTTATTAGGTGATAAAGTCACGTGGTGAATGCAAATTATTTTATGTAGACTTTACTTAGTAAATAACATTGCAAAATTAAAAATTACTTATTTTAAAACAACCAGCTATCTGTGTGTTCTATCGCAAATGTATAGTTTTATAGAAGTATTTTAAATTTCTCAAAAAACGCCAACTACCTTCCAAAAGTTTTTTCTGCATAATCACTATATTTAATACGAAGCATTATTATTGTATCGATATTTATTTAAATTACAACAAATTGACTTCTTACATAATAAAAATGTCGTATTATACAAATATTTTGAAAGAAGTTGTTGGGTATATTTTATTCTCAATATATGTGGGATTAAATAAATATTATCTAATACATACAACAATAATGTTATTGTTCATATATCCCATTATGAGTGAGCCTTTATAAATTCGAATATTCCAGTTTTGGATCATTTCTGTTAACTACTTTCTACTGTATGTTTGTTTAAAGTAAAAATTTAATTAAAAGTGTACATAATTGTGTGGAGAGTGTACCATTTTAGTTTTTGTGATAATTTCGTGAGAATTGTTAAACATCTATTTTTTATACAGACTAGAGTTGAGAAAGCCTCTTGTATTCTAAACAAACAAGGTTAGCGTTACAAATACAGTGTCGTTTTCAGGAAATGACGTTAATTATTGTTTGTTGGTATAATTATTTCTATTATTAAATCTTGAATTTGTAATATTTAGTGAATATGATTAATTATAAAGATTAATAAATGTGATCTAAATAGTATCTTTGACATCATGCATAAATTATCAGGAGAATTAACATAAACAAAAAGAAAGATTTTTCGTACAAGTAAAGTTAATGTACATTGCGTTTACCAAAATAAATTCAATTGTTTTTTAGAGCTCGAAGAAGAGAAATAGATATATCTAAGAACACTAAACAATAAATTTAAATAAAGCACTATAACTGTTTACAACGCGATAGTTAACTTATTTGAAAATTATTTTAACTACGGCCCGACATTTCGGATGCTTTGCAGCAATCAGATGGATAAATATGTTTAATTATTATATGTCGCGCTATAAACCGTTAAAAAGTTTATGAGTTCGTAGTAGCTAATTATTTAAAATGTCGGCTACACTAGATTTTAACACTAGATTACAACGGTATTCTCTCTAGCAACTAGTGATAAGCCCTACATTTTATCATCCAAAAAATTCGCAACAACAATAATTATTGCCGAAAGACATAAATTAATTATAACCTTGAAATAATATAAATATTCCACTGAGTGCGATACTTTAAACATTGTGTTATTTTAGTAAATAGTTTCCGAATACGCGGTACGATAAAGTTCGTTGTCTGGTTATCTTAAACATATTTGATTTCGCTGTTATTGTTTTAATTAACGTTATAATACGTATTTTTCGTTTCAGTTGTGCGCATGTTCTGGTGGTAGAGACATTTACACAAAACGAGTGAACAATGGGCAAATTTAGGCAGTATCAAGTCACTTTGGCATGTAAGTATATTTAAAATTTACTGAGCAACGGTATATATGAATAACCTAACCAGATTGTTTAACAATTGTTCTTGTAGCCCATGACAAATTAAAAAGTAATGCAATCTATAAGAGATACTTTGGGTGTAAGAACCACCACAAGTGTCTCTTATTTTGCAAGTAGTTAAATAATTATCCAAAAAATACCATTAAATTCCCGGTACTTCTTGTTGCCTACAAAATTGTCTAATTAATCAAACTATCGAAAATATTACTTTTTTCTTTTTTTTTCAATACGTATAACGACTATTTAAAAAAGTAAATATGAACAGAATGAAGTAAGCAAAGATTAACGCAGGCAAACACACCTCTAGCATATACATTTACATAAATCATACATGAAAACAATGTCGACATTCAAAAGTTCGCCCTAAGGGCACGTTTAAATTGGCATACATCTTATAGAAAATATACTCTACAGTAGTCAGTGTATAAAAAAAAACTATTTTTATTTTTAAATTTCAAAATAACAAAAAACTGCCCTCCAGTTATATTTTCACACTATTTCTATAACAATGGAAATTACAGACTTATTGATCGAAAAAAAAATGGTAAAAAATCGCTCTTTGCCTTTCTCTTTCACGAGAAAAACAAAAAAATCAACCAAAACTATTGTAATCTAGAAATTATACATTATGTTGCACGCGACCTTATAATAGACACGTAAAAATATATAAATTAAATTTTATAACACGTTATAATAATCTATTTTAGTGTCGATTGTTACAATCACGACTGATTTATTCGTATTGAATAACAACTTGTCTGTTTATTTTAAAAACCGATTTTAGTTAAATATCGAGGTATAGTTAAATATAAATCCCACAATAGTGTAATAGATGACAAATCAGGAATAGGAATAAAATATATTTAATGCAACCAATGACAATAGAAGTCAATGTAATCTGGACGTTAATGTTAGCTGCTTAAAAAAGCAGTGCAGGTAAAATTACTACAGTTTTTAACACCTTACCTATTTGTTTTTACCCTCGTATTAAATATCTGCTTTCAAATTTTATCAATTTAATCCCAGCCTAGATTTTTTACTAACACGTCAGATATACATTTCTTGACTTTAAATTGCATCACTTGGTAACACGGTCTTAAGGCGCGTCCACACGAGAGGAAGCATTTAGGAACAGTTACATAAATAAAAGGTTATTGAAACCGTAACTTAAAGAAATCTCTTAATTCTTAATAAAAAAATTAAGCCATAAACAAAGTCAAATAAAAAGCATATCTCAATTATCATTATCATAATATGAAATGACGTTAATAGTTAGAATGAAACGCTTATGTAGAGTTAAAGGGGCGTTGTATACAATAGACAATAGATAATATCCAGTAACAATGATCATAGATACGAAAATTTATCAATGAAATGTTAATCGACAATTTGCTGATAATTGTAATATCATAGGGTCTTCCGGCAAAAAAAAAAAATGGCAATACTCTGCCAGTAAAATCTGCTAATAACTTAATTCTTAATCACCTTAATTAGCTCTTAGGTACATTTTTCTCCTTAGCATTTCTCCAATGGATGGCAAAGATATCCACGTGTGCAGTTTCTCCAACGGGGCTCCGAAGTTCCAGACAGCCTCAAAATAATCTACGACTGACAGTTAACTTCTCTTCCAGGTTCCTTAGGAAACTTTGCAACAGGCATCCTCTTCGTATGGCCTTCATATACTCTCCAGTTATATACTTCGACAAATACCACGCTGCTATCCGAACCGTTATCTGACTTACAGAGCTCTCTGCTCGGGAGTTTGCCCAGTTTAGGAGCTATGGTTAGCACAATGTTTGCTGGGGTGATGCTCAATACACTTGGGAGACAGAAAGCGGGGCTGTGTTGTGCTATTCCATTTTTGGTAAGATTTTTAACACCAATAAATAGAACAACCTAGACCATCTGGTGGTGACTATTAGTTTCTTTAATCCATTTCAGTGGACAGGAGTCGGCACAACACGTCGTCTCTTCTATTCTTCTCTAGTTATGGTTTAAAGGTAACTTACAATGCCGTAAGTCCTTTAAAAATAATATTTTTATACTGGGTTCCTCTCTAAACTTAAAAAGGTTTTAAATGATTAAGTATAGCGAGGAACTCTTGAATTACGGTAATCTTACGTTTCAAAAAATATTACATCATATAATTATTTCTGTTACAGCTTTCCTGGCTTCTAATCGATCTCAGTTCATCGGCGATTCTTCTCCTCTTGGGCAGATTCCTTGGAGGTATAGCATGTGGCATCTGCTTCGTGCAAGGACCCGTTTTCATTTCCGAAATCGCCGATCAATCTATACGAGGGATGCTAGCTACAGGTAACATTAACTATAAAACACTTACGTTTGTCAATAAATAAATATACTTCGCGTTTCAAACAGTTTTATAAAATATTATTATATACTAACATATACTAAGCTAACCCATTCTATTTTCAGCACCTACCGCGTTCTACTGTGTTGGTGTTCTGGTCTCATTTATAATGGGCTGGACACTCACATTTAAGTATATCATTTGGACGAACATATTTTTCTGTGTGCTCTACGCTGCCTTGATGATATCCGTCAAGGAAAGTCCGGTGTTTTTATTGATGAAGAATAACGAAGAGGTAGTTATTATTTTCCTTCTGTCAATACAACCTCATTAAAACATTCATCTGATGGCTTTTGCATGTTGATATTGTTGATGTGTTTATATGAAATAATGTAAAATATAATTAATTAAAATAAAAGATTGTTAGAACATTGCATTTTATCGCATAATAACAAAATTTGCGAAATTCTAAAAGAACGTTGTTTAAGTCTCCTCCTCCATAGCCACGAGAGATCGTAGTATATTCATAAATATATTTCCAGTGTTAAACTGTTAAAAGTATTAATTTCATGTTAGGTATCAGTTGGTATACTTTTTTGATAGCATTGAGTTACTTGAGCTAATATTAACTCTTTTATTACAGGATGCAAGACAGTCTATTGCATACTATAAAGGATTTTCAGTAGATTCGAAACCTGTTTTAGAAGAGCTCTCAAGGTTAAAACAACAAATGACGCCTTCAGTTGAACTGAAGTCTATATCAACAGGTAGGTTTAATATTAATTATTTATCTTAATCAGGCGATGTAATTAATATGATAATAAGTATACGAGTTCAAAGGTGAAACGTTAATTCCATTTACTTTATGTGAGACTTAAGAACAATTTCACAACAGCCATTTTTCAGTGTCCGTTTCTCCGTTCATATTACTTACCTCAAAATGTAATAGATCCGTTTCTTTTATTAGAATTTGACCTAATCATTTGATCGATTCAACATCCATGATCCCTTGCGCTAAAGAATGGTAGAGCATATCAATCATTCAGCCGTAGAGGCAATCGAATCACCTTAGGCTATTCTATTAACGAATAACGTTTTTCTTGGGGTAAATTATGAAACTACGATTTCAGATGGTAAGCTGGATGAAGCTGAGAAAGAAAAACTAAATCCCGATTATGACGACGTTATAAATGACATGGAAAAAATGCCAGCATATAAAATGCTAAGTGAGTACAAACAGGATATTTGACCTCAAAAAAGTTGCAATATTTATGCGGGGCACAGTGAATCTATTTAGCATAGTTTTATTTCCCTATTATGTTATCATGGCCTTAGAACTTCCGTTCCAATATCGGAAAAAAACAAAACAAAATCATGGTTAGAATATTCTCTTGTCTTTTAAATATAAACCCGCACATCTTTCTTAGTTATCCACCTGCACTTAAAAAATAAACTAATGGTAATGTATCTTTTTGATTTTTAACAGGAAATTATAAGGATTTGATTCTTACATGATTTTCAATATGTGTACATTTTGTGATGTTTATGTCCCACGGTTGCGGCCAAATATTCTATTCTATGACGTTTTAAGAGCTTAGACAATACACTATAGGGCTATAACATCTATAAATTAGTATCTAGATAATATAGTATCCAGGACTAGCTTACAATTGCTCTCTCAAACCAGGGCAGCACCTCGTGGTTTGTGGTCCAGTGGTTTAAATCCTAGACCAACAAGACGAAACTAATCGTGATTTTAATATTATCTTTATTTTCAGTGTTCTCACCTACATCAAGACGTGCATTCACAATAGTTGCAATAACTATTTCACTACAGGTACTTTTAAAAATCCATTTGACCTTAATTTTATTTTATTTGCAATTTTTTAATATTTGGAAATAAGAAGGAAACTAACTTCATATTTAAAATTAAAGTAATGTCTTATATTATATTTATTATATATCACATTATACAATCGCGCCAACAATCGAAAAAATTCAAATCCTTTTATCCTAGAAAAAAGTAAAACTTTTTACTACGTCACGTTCGTTTGCTACCACATTTTTCATTGGTTTTTAGTGTGTAATATTTTTTATTAATTTGTGTATCTTCTTCAGGTGTTGATGGGTATGGTACCAGTCCAGGTGTACGCCAAAGTAATCTTCCTGCAAGCAGCTCCAAGTCTCTCTTCCCACATGTGCTCAGTTTTGTTTGCTCTTGTTCTTATGTTTGGTTGCATGTCCTGTGCGGTTTTCTCTGACAAATTTGGAAGAAAGGTATGATCTAACTATAACTACTTGTTATACGCCTTAAATAGTTTTTAGTTATGTATATATTAGCCCTCCAGTGACTACGACTATTACGACGCACCCGAAACGACGTGTCGAGTTAAAAATAAATTTAATCTAAAATTTCATTATAAAATTTAAACCATTATTAAACAGAAGACAGAAGAAGAAAAATTAAAGAACGTTTTTGTGTCTTTTTAGCCTCTCATTATCGGTTCTTCCATTGGTGTGACACTGTGTCTCCTAGGAATGGGAATACTGATGCAGACCAATATAGCTCCAGCCTGGATCACTGCAGTTCTCATATTGGTCTTCTGTTTCTCATTTATGTTTGGAGCAGGCAGCGTGCCTTATGTTCTCTTGGCTGAATTGTTCGTTTCTGAGGTTAGTACTTCTCAATCAATTACAAAAAGAAACAATTTAACTAAATAAGGTGTTAAGAATATTTTTAATGACTAACTGGCGTAAAGTTTATAGTACTTTAATCATTTCGTCTATTATTTTCTTGTTAGATGTTGTGCAAAGAATGACAAATTAATATATATGTGCGTATATAGCGCATGATACAATGTAATTGTAAGAATAGCGCACCTTTTTTTCATTTAGGTACATGTCCGAAAGTGCTTACACCCACAAATAAAAACCTGTTAACTAGTAACTCATTATTAATTTCAGGTACAAAGCCTTGCATCAATGCTGCTGCTAGAACTAGTGTGGCTTCTCAACTTCTGTCTCGTAGGAGTCTTTCCATTCATGCTGAAGCTGTTCGGAATCTACGGATCATTTTACATCTTCGCGGTATTTGGAACCCTAAATATTCTTGCTGGTATCTTCCTTGTTCCGGAAACCAAGGGTTTGTCAAAGGAACAGATTCAGGAATGTCTGCAGGGAAGAAGTAAGACGTAGATATGTACAATTTTTGTAATTCTGTGTGATGGAGAAATTTTATTCAGTCAGGGCAGTTAGCTCATAATAATATAAAAGACTTCTATCAACAAAGTGGTTGAAGTAGAACATCGTAAAAATAGTACTGAACATTATGGCTTAAGTGAAATGATTGAAATTATATAACCTAAAGTGCTATAGATGTTTGAACTGTGAGTAATATTTGTGCCCTGAGTTACAAATTGATATTATAGTTTTATCTAGAAATAATATATGCTACAAAGATAAAATTAGTACCGATATAGATATTTATGTTATTAGAGCAGTGTATGGTAAATAATCAATGGGTAGTGGTTTGGATCCCGACCGGGTCCCAGATGTTTTTAATCAATTTATATTTTTTCTGAAACATGCTGGACCTCGTCTGGAAATCTGAATATTGGATGGATAGTAGGAATATCGAAATTTCGTCCGGGCTACGAACCATCGTCCACAGACCAAAAAGCCGTAAAGTTAAATGGCGTTTCGGTGTCAGTCTGTGGATTTTCTGTGGAACATAGGTTGGCATCGCATCTAGTTTACATTTTATATGGCTGGGGTATTACACCTTCCATCAAGTAAGTGTGTCCACCTCTTTTAGAAAAATATATATTTATACACCATATCAGATATAGTTTATATGCATTGTAATTTCTGATGATAAATTGAAATAGTTGGTTAATAAGGTATTACTTTCAAATAATATGTCATAGTTAAGAAAAAGGTATTTTATACTTTTAAGTGCCACGTTAGAGGAGAACGAAATATTATGTAACATAGGGAAAATATTTTGGCTTTAAGCAAAGTGCCTTGTTTAATTTAGGTACGTACAACTATTTCCTGTTTGTAATTAAGATAATTTATGCCTTAGTTAATGCGATCGCAGAATATTGTCGTAAGTAAATACGCGAAAGTGTTTTTGTGTTTGAGGTACGCATTCTATATCGCAGAGGTTGTATAAGTTATCTTTGAATGCTGTTTGTAGTGCACGCGAATAGTACACATTTAAATAAAACAATTTAACAGTTTTAAACGCAATATATTTAACCTTATTTAAAAATTATTTTAACTAATATATGTCACGTTTTATACCGTTAAACTGTTTTATTTAAAAGCTATATTTGATAATAATGAATTTAATATTTTAAGCAGTAGTATTCGAAGGTAGACTGATGATTTTAAAAATACCAGTACGTCATCAAGATTTAAATTCACAAGTGCCTTTAGATTTTACAGAACAAGTCTGGATGTGACTGTTGTCTAGTTTTACTTTTATAGAGTCAATCTACTGACGAAAATGCAGGCGATAGTACCATTTTGTTTTAAATAATAATAAGGTGATCAACATAAGTCTGAGTGTTCCTTAGTATTTCTTAGTTTTAATTAAATGTATTTATGTAGCAATAATGTAGTATGAAAATTTTTTACTTACTTAAATATGTATTACTATGTGACTTAGTATAAAAAATGAATTAATCTATCATAATTATAAACTAATAAACTACATACCACACGAATAAAGTTACAGAAAAACTTACCATGAACTTTTATATATATAAGTATGTAAGTACTAGACGTAACGTAACGTCCAAAGCCAAAAATAGTTCTGGTCTATTTTCAGTTCTTAATTTATGTCTGGCTTATTTCACCTTCCATCAAGTGAACTGCATTTTTCACTGGTCTTCTCAGTCATAAGGTTTAAGGAACAAAGCACTTAAATGTTTTATAATTCTTAATTTACCCTATATATAGGTAAGTTGTTGCTAACATCGCGTTTAGCAAGGACCACGGTTCCAATCCCGGAAAAAAATAGATGTATTTTTTAAAAGACTTAGCATAATCTTAAGTATAAATATAGTTATTTAATTGTTACATTTCTGCGTACTTAATGGATTCAGAAAATTTATGGTCCCTATCTATTCTCTTAATAAGAATAAAATGTATATCTTCATCAAAATGAAGTCATTGTTACTCGTATTTAACATGAAATGTAGATATTTTGTAATAAATAATATGTCGTTTAATTTTATTTTATTTTTGTTTAAACGTTTACCTACCCATTAACGAAACCTGACAGAGATAGAACAGTAACAGAGTTCCTCTGACAACTTTTATTTAAATACAGAACTAGTAGTAGTAATTACAGGTTACGGCGCTCATATAAATTGCCTGTCTCCTATTGTTTGTTTCTTCATATTAAATCAAAAAAATATAGTTTATTACCTGGATGTAGCTGCCATATTTCCCTTTCGGACATCTAATATATAAAATTCTCGTGTCACGGTGTTCGAACTTGAACTCCTCCGAAACGGCTCGACCGATTTTCACCAAATTTGATATGTGTATTCAGTAGGTCTGAGAATAGGACAACATCTATTTTTCATTTCCCTAAGTAGTAAGGGTTGTTCACCCTTAAGTTTATTTTTTTATTTATTAGACAAATTTTTTAATTTCTATTTTTTTATGATACAACATACAAAAATCCATATAATCCTCAATTTTCACCCTTCTACGATCAACCCTTATTTTTTAATAGACATTTTAGTAAAATTATTTACATGGTAAAACAACGTTTGCCGGCTCAGCTAGTGGTTCTATAAAATGATATAGCTAAAAATAATAGATTAACAAATTCTTGGCCTGAGAATCTACCTAACATCAGTTTTAATATAAGCTGGTGACGTCACAAGTTCGATCTTAAGTCACTTGTAAGGCCGCTTATAATAATATAAAACTGGCTAAGTGCGAATTTGTGCATTAAGGGTTTGTACAAGGGCGCCCCTGGAAATATTGCGTTATTTACTTGTGCCAGACAGGCTTGCTTAAAGTGGCTCGCTGCATGATTCATACTTCAGGATTCCTGAAAACTATCAAAAGTTATATTAAAGTACTACTTTTATTATTTTATATTAATGCACATAAGACCTTATATAAATTAAAAATATTGTCGTACACTTAAAATTATTAGACATTTGCAATTAAACTTGGGATCAAAATCATTTACTAAGTTCGAATTGAGTGACGATAAGTATGTAAGTTTGTCTTTTGACAGTTAATTTTGAATACATATTTGAAAAATTCAAGTTATCCACATATTTAAAATACTAATGGAAAAATGATACGAGAGGTAGCTTATCAAAATTGAAACACGTGATAAGGAACAATGTGTGTATCTAAATGAGATTGTACACTGCGTTATTTGCATAATGAAATAAATAACTGTAATATATTTAGAAGTTGACGTTGCGCATTGTTTCACGTGAGACTATTATCGCTAGAGCGCCATGAACGAGCTCGTACAAATCATTTTGTCTATTTAAATTGGAATGAAAGATTTATAATTATTTAGAAAATATGTACAATTTCAATTGATTAGTCAATTCAAAGTTTTTATTGTATACAATAAATTATAACTTTCCTATGAACGATATTATTATAAAATTTAAAAAGCTCTCATGTGAAACCTGCTTGCGTCAAATTTTAATTTATAAATTGGTAATATTGTACTTACTTTAACGGGTTAAAACGCGAAATGTATAAGTTAAACTTAATAACTTATAAATTTCGCGTTTTAACCCGTTAAAGTAAGTAGTTAATCGTATCAACAATTTTTTTGCGTTCACGGCGTAACAACGGCTGCAAAGCATCCGAAAAGTAAAAACAATTTGTAAATATTCTAAATCTATGCTAATATTATAAATGCGAAAGAAACTCTGTCTGTCTGTTTGTCCGGCTTTAACTCCGAAACTACTGAACTGATTTACATAAAATTTGCTATACAGATAGATATTTTAGAGCCCAAAAAAGGGTTGATAGGGGTTGAAAAAGGGTATGAAAGTTTGTATGGAAATTCGTGGTTTTTGAAGCAATGAAACTTTCTTCTTTGGATTTTTGAGTATAGGAGTGGGAATGGTAGTGAGTGTAGGAATGAAAGTGGGACTTAAAGTAGGAGTGATGTGAGGTGAGTATTGCGGCAAAGTAGCACTTACAATATAGATTGGCTGCCTTCCCGGAAAGGCTTTTTGTTTCCACTGCTTGTACAATAAAGGTAGAGCGAGAGAGTGTAATTAACTGCAAGTATGCAAACAAGTAGATATGAGTTTTGAACGCACTCTATATTTTCATTTGAACGCGCAACAAATATGAAATAATACCCTTAATCTTTGAAATTGTTCAATGAAGTTGCTATTTACATACTTGTTTTTAATAGCGGTCTCTATTTCATGTCTAATCTACTAAATAGATTTTAATCATTTTTAATACATTTTATAGGATCTGCAAACAAGAAAACAAAATCAAAGAGCTTATAACGTGTTTGGTATCATCCGGAACTTTTTGTTTGCTGTTAATATGTTGTCCATAATGTGACCCTAAAGGTAGATCCTAAATTTTCACCCTTAAGTTACTAACCCCCTATTTTAGTAGTTTTAGTTTTATTGTGTTTTGTTATATTCCTCACACATATACCTCATTATTTATACACTTACAAATATTAAGTTATGTTTTCTTAAATCTAGGGATTAGCTAGAAATAATTTAAAGAGGCAAACAACCTTTGCCTTGTTATATTTTTGGGAAAAAAGCTTTAGAACTAAAAAGGCTGTCAACATTAAAAACTTGATAAGGGATCTCAAACTGTAACTGTATTTTACCATCATCATGAATTAAATTTAAAATTCCTTCTATGTAGTTGACCATCTTCACAGCTCTATCTTTGTAGCCCAAGAACCCAAGAGATCTTTACTTCAAAGAAGTCGATAAAGTTACTACTTTAGAGCACAAAAAAGTTTTAACTTTAGCTAGATTATGTACTCATAATAAAGTGTTTTATTTAAAAGTCGATAAATAGTTTCGATCAGGCTGTACACAGAAGTGAAGCAGGGAATCTGGAACAAATCTCCAAATGTGTGCGCCAAATGTAGAATGTAAAACGGTAGTACATTTTTCAATCTGAACACATGTGATAATTAACACTCTAACCGAAGTTGTACCAACTTTGGTCTTAATTATCAAGTTAAGAATTAAAGATTAAACGGATATAAACAGATGGAAAAGGAACATGAAAATTTAAGAAGAGTTGGATGATTAAAAATACTTTGTTAAAGTTGGAGACGACTTGAAAGTGGTTTGATAAACTGGCCCTCAATCATCTCAAGCGATAAATTCATGAATTCTTAACCACCTTAATTTAATTGAATTTTAATAAAGAGATTCTTAAAGATTTTCGCTTTTTTTCATCAGAATAAAGGTATGTAAATGTCTACTAAAGTACCGGATGTTAGACTAACTTTTAAGGAACAATTTTACAAATTTTCTCTGCTAATCATATTGTAATGTTGCATCAAATAACGAGAAAACTAAAAGTCTTACGTCAACCTCAACATTTAAGGATGTAAGGTTCGTTCTGTGCTGTAATCATATTGTTTATTCTATATTTGCCAGTGTATATGCATAACTTTATCATTAATTAAATAGCATTTCACATCTAAATATATATAAATAAGATTTTAAGACATTGGATGTAGTTTGGTTGCCGTAGACAGGCGGTACCTTTTGCTTGGTGCGAAATTAGTGTCTCAAAATGGGGAAAATTCATCAGTGTCACACAACTTTAGCGTGTATGTAGTTACTAAAATAATTACTGCCTTCTTGGTTAAACTAGCATCAACACTTGCGAGGGCGTTATTAGTGTTTGAACCCAGGCCAAATTTAAAATAGATGATCAGTATCTGCAAAAAAAATTGTGAATGTACTTTTCTCGTAAGATTCGAATTAAGAAGAAGAAGAAAAGACACAGACAGATTTAACATTTATTAAAAATCAGACAAGACAACAAGACTTATGTCACATCCAGTATCACTTCATTTAAAGGAGGTTGTCATTGATAGATGTTATTGACCTTTAACAGTCTTAGTTTGAAATCACCGTACTAGTGTCTACGTTTGTTGTAAGTCTTTTTGAGAAATTACTTTCTATAAGACTACAAATAATCAATTAAAATCAATTTTAGATTTTGATTGATAAGATTTAACGATAAGGGTGGAATGCATCCACAGCGTCCGTGCTATCGCTTTAGCCAATTGAGCTACCGTTCAAATTTTTTCAACCCATAAGTACAGGCATTTCTTGCGCATGCTAAGATTAGTCATCAATTTTCTAAGGTCTCAGCAGTACTTTATGAAATTTGCTTCCAATAATAATTATTCTTCATAATTTTCAACTATGAGATTTTCGAAATAATTTCGATCTCGTTTGAGCTTTGATGGGGCTTTTTTGCCACTACGTTTTAACGTTAGTTAGATTAATTTAAAAGAGTACCCGATTATTTTTTAATAAAAATCTACAATACAATTGTATACGACTACCGCCAGTCTCCCGTTAATTTTGGTTCCCAAAATAGAAACGATTCTAGCGTGTCATTAAGGCAAATCAGTTAAGATCGTTTTTCAGGTAACGTGTATATTATCATCAATCTACACTACAATGAAATCAATAATAAACATTTACACGACTAAAATAAACAAATTGTAATCACATTGATAACATATTTATAATTTACCAAGAACGTCAGAATAACTAATATTAGCATAATATTTATTTTCAACACCCAAAGTCATAAATTAAACCTTCGTTTGTTTTTTTTAATCCTGATAAAGAATTCGTTACATCATTTTTATTTTCATAACGAAAATCTACTTTATAGTACAGATCAAATTAGAGAACTGAGAGTATAAATAAAATATATAAATAAGTATTCAGTTAGAAAAAAAAATAGAATAAAATTTTACAGTAAAACGGGCTTACGAGGCTCCTTAAATACTGTCTGCAGTTTACGCGAGTAGTATACATTTAAATAAAAACACTTTAACGGTTTTAAAACGCGATATATTATAGTCAAACTTCTGTTCCATCTCCCCGTGACCACGGATGCTGCAAAGCATCAGAAACCTTGGGCCGTAGTTAAAAATAATTCTCAAACAAGTTTAACTAATACATCGCGTTTTAAACCGTTACAGTGTTTTATTTAAATGTGTAATATCTTTATGCTTTTGTTTTTCCGCTCTCTTGCATACGGGTCGTTGTTGAAAGGATGACGCAATATATAAAAAATAGCTTGATCATTTAATTGGATCTCGGACTTTTATTTCAAAATGACTTCACTACTCGCGTAGACTATAGACAGTATATAATCAATCTTATTACGAAGTTCGTATAATATTTCTTAAATTAGAGATTATTTTATACGCATAGAACTACGAAGCGATCATCTTGCAAAACACAATATTCATCCTCAGTAAAATTTAACTAGAAAGGATTAAATGGACACATTCTTATTCACAGGTGTTATGGGATCAATCCTCACCGCGTCTCTATCAGTATGGCCTTCATATACAATAGCTGAATTTACCTCAAACAGTACCACAGTTATCCAATCGCCGATGTCTTCTTTTGAAACGTCCTTAGTAGGAAGTTTGCCATCGCTTGGTGGTATGCTAGGCACTATGTGTGCTGGGATGATCATCGATGGCTTTGGAAGAAAAAATGGTGGACTTTTTATAGCTTTGATCTATCTGGTTAGTTTTTAATGTTATCTATGACGACTTTTATTATCTCCGAGAAATTGTATAGATAGTTCTTTAAATCAAATTAATATCGCCATTTACTGTTGAAACCTTTCATAGATTAAGAGTGCCTTTAAACAAATAAGACAGAAACGGAGAATGGACGGTGAAGTAAAATGTATCTAAATCTAAGCTTAGAACAAAAAATATAAATTGAAAAGTAATTTTTCATACTTATAGTTTTGAGTCAATTTTTTTGTAATTACTTAATTTTCAGCTGTCTTGGGTTATGATGGACCTGACGTCATCGACTATGATAATATTAATAGCTCGCTTTCTCTCTGGAATCTCAATGGGTGCTTCATCGGTTCATGCGCCGATACCCATATCAGAAGTTGCTGATGAATCAATTCGCGGAATGCTGAGTTCAGGTACATCTAAAGACAGACATTATTTTCTTGTAACATTTTTATTTGAGGACTTCAGCGATAAGAATGACAACTAATTTCACATTGGCTGTCGTTTATCCTATTAAACATCTATCTTAATATATAAAGCTGAAGAGTTTGTTTGTTTGTTTGAACGCGTTTATATTAATCATCATCTTTGTGCTTTTCTGATGCGTACGCTGCGACAACGGTTCAAAATACCCAAAAAATATGTATGAAAGAATGATTGATGTCTCTTTAAATGTACTAAAAAAAGTCCGCGACGCTCTGTTTCTATTTTTTAACGCCTGTCGCTCGCGACTGGACGCGACCGATGTCGTGGGCGGCTTACATTTATAAAGATGTAGAGGTTTGCAAAAACAAATTTGAAGGCCCAAAATAACTATTGTACGAAGACGAAGTCGCTGACACAGCTAGTATTTAAATAAGCCACGTTTGATGCACGGTCAGCATTTCTGATGCTTTGCAGCATTCGTGGTCTAGGATACAGTTTGTGTTTCAAACTGTTAACGGTGTTCTATTTAAAGAATTGTAAGTTAGAACTCTTAACGAGTTCTACTATTTTTCTTATTAAAAGTGCTTCAACGTATGTGGCTAGTGCATATTGATAGTATTAATTGAAAAAAAATATTTGGAATACTTACATCAGCTCACCTCTAAGAAAATACAAATATATTTTTGAATGTTTAAAGATCCTAGAAAAAACTTTTTGCTGTGTTTTTTTATCAATTATGTGCATTATAAGAATTCTTCTTTTATCTCCTCAGCCCCCATGGCTTCATATTGTATTGGAGCGATGTTGTCTTATTTCATTTGGGATGGACCTTAACTTATCGTTATATATTATTTGGGGAAATATGATCCTGCGTCTTATATACACGCCTTTAACATCTGTGAAGGAGAGTCCAGTGTATCTATTAAGAAATATTGAGAGAAGAGGTAAATATTTTTTCTAAATGCATATGTAATCTTGCATGAAAAGTTCACTTTCGGCCAAAAAAATTTTCCAATTTTACCATCTTGTTTTCAGTAGGAAGCGCGTCTATCCATAGCACACTACAAAGGTGGTTCTATAGACTCCAAGGCTTTGTTGGAAGAGTTTTCGCTATTAAAGCAAAGATTGCAGCCAGCTGTAGAGCTGATACCAAGTGATGGTAAGAATATCCTTAATTCATAGTGATAGGTCGGAAAAACGATGTTAAACTCTTAGATATTCATTTATTATCCTAAATTAGGCTTTAACCGACAGAATGCGTGCCAACGTTCGTATTTGACAGTTCCTGAACTAGTGTCGGGACGCGCGGTAATCGCGTCGCACTAGTGTTGTGTCGTCCTCACAAACGGAGGATTATTCATCAGTTCGGCCATCCTTGTAGTCCTTCGCCCTCGAAGGATGAGTAGCGCTCCGCTAAACCGCCAGGCTGCAAGTGCAGCCACGGAGACTCGGCTCAGCCACCTTCAGGAAATAGCCTCGTAGGCAGTAAATAGCCCCGTAGGCAGTTAATAGCCCCGTAGGCAGTAATAGCCCCGTAGGTAAATAGCCCCGTAGGCAGATAATAGCCCCGTAGGCAGATAATAGCCCCCGTAGGCAGTAATAGCCCCGTAGGCAGTAATAGCCCCGTAGGCGGTAATAGCCCCGTAGGCAGTAATAGCCCCGTAGGCAGTAATAGCCCCGTAAATAGCCCCGTAGGCAAATAATAATAGCCCGTAGGCGTAAACCCCGTAGGCAGTAATAGCCCCCATAGGCAGTAATAGCCCCCGTAGGCAGTAAATAGCCCCAAAGGCACAATAATAGCCCCCGAAGGCAGAACATAGCCCCGTAGGCACAATATAGGCCAGTAGGCACTATGCCAGAGGGGTGACAGCATCTTGCTTTAATTCGTCCCTTCATCCACAACTGTCTGTTAGTTTAGCTTTCAAAACCTTCATTTAGTCACCTTATGACCAACCTTGTCACAATTGTTGCACTTGACCACCTTGCTTAAGTTATTATTTTAAGCATTAAATGAACCCCAGGATTTCACTTCAACGCAGTCTGATGATGTTTTCATACAGGCCAGATAAATTATGCGTGAGCTATCACATCATCACTCATATTATACATGACATGCCAATACCCAGCTTATCATAGTAAAATTTTATTGGGTCTTCATCTTTTGTCTTGATACGGTTAACAAGTTCCCTAATCTGTGACAACTTATTCTTAGTGAATGGAAATGCTGTAATTAATTTTATTTTCCACTCATCCCAGCTAATGTCATAGCAAGTTTGGCGTTCATACCAGCTTTTAGCATAGCCACCCAACTTAGAAGTGCAGTTGCAAATCAAAGTGCGTTCATCCCAGCCATGCATATTAGCAACACCTTCTAAGTTACGGAGCCAATGTTCTACTGAGACAGATGATTTTTGAGGATTAAACTCAGGTATAAAATCATTCCGCCCAACATAACGAACCACTGACTCTACTCTTGGTGTGGTGACACCATTATTATAATTTTTCTGTTGTAATTCTTTAATCAACCCTTCTAATGCTTCGATTCTCTTATTCTTCCTTTTAAGTTCTTTTTTTTGTCGTTTACTTTTAGATTGTCTATCTGAATTACTTGACCCTGACGAAGAAGCACTAGTAGACCTATTTCTCTTACGGTGTCGACCCATGTTAACAATTAAAACAAAGTCACACACAATAAACTTATACTGCTGTCTCCACTAATAATTCTCTTTGAATAAAGTAAACTTCTTTAACAAAAGTAATTAAATTCAGTAAAAGTTCAATTATCCAAATAGTCCTTAAATTTAGTTTAAAATTAGCACTTTAACAACTTAGAATAGTTCACTTTGTTTATTTTTGGGTTGCTGAGCATTTTAACAGATATTAAAGTATGCTCAAATTATCAGTCTACTTATGTAAATACAAAAGTTCATGGAACAATCTCACCAAATAACCAGGAACATTTCAACACGCAACTGATGCATCTTCAAGCACCTTGTTGTGCAATCGTCACCGTACCAGGATAATTCACACAAATAAACCAGTTTCTCAACCAGAAAATGTTCACCCAAAACTTCTACAAACTTGTTGTACTGGAGGTCAGTGACCCTTAACGGATTGACAAAATTTGTGCAAAAATCAAGTATTAAGTACCGATCTGCATTAAACTTAGTTACTATAAGCGCTCTTATCACTAATTATGTGAGTCATCACAAAATTATATCATAAAAGCGTCTTTTCGCACCCAAAACCGCCAGTTTTATTTTTTCACCAAACTTTGCACTTTAAAAGTGAAATTATTGTCCAATTCATCAACGTTCACTCGTGGGCAAGATCACTTATCGCACTTCTGATATTGATAGGTCGGAAAAACGATGTTAAACTCTTAGATATTCATTTATTATCCTAAATTAGGCTTAACCGACAGAATGCGCGCCAACGTTCGTATTTGACAGTTCCTGAGCTAGTGTCGGGACGCGCGCGGTAATCGCGTCGCACTAGTGTTGTGTCGTCCCCGCTAAATCGGAGGATTATTCATATCAATAGAATATTTAGTGTTCTGAGGACAGATAAGTATGCGTCGTTGATCACCTTTTCCCTTAGTATTTGTAAAACGTAACGGAAACCATGTTTTAGATTTAACATGAGGAAGAATCCATCTATTGTCGACGGTTCACAATCAGATAATACCAAGATTTTTCAAAATCTTTGATTTTAGAACAATCTTTGACTCGTTAAAATCGATTCCATGATCTGTTATTACATACATTGCTATCATCGTATCAACAAGTCCACATAAAACAAAACCTAGGTTATCTTAAAAAAAGAATTAACCTTACAGATACAGAAGTGGAAAAAGCAGAAAAAGAAGTGTTCAAAGAAGATACAGAACCAGAAAAGAGAATGTCGTCTTTCAAGATGTTATGTAAGTACCTACACTTTTAGAAACGAAATATGTATGGACTCGGTAACGCAATTGGTAGAGCAACAGCACGGAACGCTGACGATGCCGGTTCATGCCCGAGTCGATTTTTTTTTAAATTTATTATCGATTTTTAAATAAAATATGTTGTTTAAAATTTGTAATTATACAACTTACACTAAACTTTAACTGATCTATGATTTGCAGTTGTTTCACCATCTTCACGACGTGGCTTCACTGTTGTTGCATCTGTTATATCCCTACAGGTATTTCTCTAATTCCATTAATCATTTTTGAACTGAAAACAGCTATGAACATTGATACAATTGAATTGTAAAAAAAAACGATCTCAAATCTCAATCACAATTTTACGTGTAAAATAATTCATGTAAGATTATTTTTTAACATATTAAATGGCTGAAAGCGCGAAATGTATTAGTTAACTTATCTACAATTTAAGTTAACTATGGCTTGACATGGTATGGGTGGTCATGGAGGAACTTGTCACCCCCCGTGACCACGGCTGCTGAATGAACTTAAACGTCGGGCCGTAGTTAAAATAAATTGTAAATAAGTTAACTAATGTATTTTACATATTAAACAGTTCGGGCGTTTTATTTAAATGTCTACAACAGCGTAAACTACGAAAAATTAATATCCAACTATACTTCTTATTGACAAGACTGCAGTTAAACTACTTCTGATTGTTCACGGAAGATCTTCTAAGCGCCTTTGAAAGGCGCTTTCGAACATTTACTTAAGATAATAACAAAATATGTTTTAGGTTATGATGGGAATGGTTCCAGTACAAGTGTACGCCAAGGATATCTTCTCTCAAGCAGCTCCGAGTTTATCATCTCATCTTTGTTCAGTGCTTTTTGCTCTAGTGCTGATGGCCGGCAGTATGTCAGCTGCTTTGTTTTCTGATAAGTTAGGAAGGAAGGTCAGTATCCTATATACTTATGGCGTTAATATTAGGGATGGTACCTAGATAAAATAGAATTTTCTTCACTTTGTTTAAGCATCCCTTGAGATTTTCATTTATTTCTCCTCTATATTAAAATTTAATTGAGATGTAATAGCAAATTTTTGTCACCTAATTAAAACACTTTTAACAGCTCAAAGCGCAATATAAAAATAACCAATATATTTAGCGTTATGAACCACTAAATATGTGAAAATTCTTAAATATTTCTTCCAATTAATTTTAATATATATATGCCATCAAATTTAAAGGCCGATAACGCATGGGCGTCAAAAAAATTCCCTTCCCATTTAGTTGTCTCACTTTACAACCGCTTGCCCGTTTGCCCGTAGTATAAACCAGATGGATGTGTATCGTATGTGTAAAGTAGAAAAGTTATAAATTTAGGAGTTTATATACATTGAGGTGTGGTATGCGTCAACATATTTCGCCGCATCAAGTCCTGCTCGATTTGTAATTTTTTTCAATTTATAATCGATTCTTAAATACTAATATATTTTTTCTTACTATTTACAGCCTTTACTAATAACATCAGCTATCGCTGTGGGTGCCTGCTTAGTTTCCATGGGCTTCTTCATGCAGACCAATATTGCCCCTCCAGCAGTTACTGCCATTCTCATCCTGCTCTACTGCTTTGCATTTATGCTTGGTACAGGCACCGTGCCATACATACTCTTGGCAGAAGTTTTCGTTTCTGAGGTAATAGTATACTTTTTATGACATGTAAAAACTAATAAAATCCCCAGTGAAGTGCAATCACTGCCAATAAATAAGTTTAAATTATAAATAAAAACTGCTTGAAAAGGGTTATGTATATATTAATGACGTTAATCAATATTTGAACGATAGAAATGCTTGGCATTTCGAGGAACCCGCGCTAACAATAAATATGTAGTGCATTTAAAGTACGTGAAGACTGTAAAATGAAACTTGGCGATAAAAGGAGTGGCGGCGAGTATCTTGCCAGTTCTTCTCGTTCGTTTTACGCTCTTGTTTTAAGAAATTATAATAAATATAAATTAAGAGTCTTAACTAATTTGACGTTTATAACTGTACATAGTTACATACGTGAATAAATGTTTCGTGACTTTGACTAAGTACTAAATAACAATGATTACTAATGTATTTTGGATGTATGGTAGTTTTTTACTCTTCAAATTTACAGTCCTGTAAGATGAACAAGGATTTCCAATTTACAGAATTTTCACTTGACTGCTTCGTGAATTTTCGTTTCTAAGACATGACAGTCTTCTTTGTTAGTACTATAAATGTACTGAGTAGAATACAGTTTTTACTGCGGATCTTCTCATGGTGTTTTCCCCTTGGACGAATGTATTTATAGATAAATGTTTTGCTGCTTGACCGAGAATGCAACTCCAGACAAATGTTTTATTATGTGTTCTACCAGGTCCAAAGCCTCGCATCAATGATTCTCATGGAGTGGGTCTGGTTGCTGAACTTCTTCATCCTAGCTATATTCCCGTACATGGTGCAATTCCTCGGCATCCACGGGTCTTTCTACTGCTTCGCCATCTTCGCAGTTTTCGATGTACTTGTTGCAGTGTTCATGGTTCCAGAGACAAATGGGCTTACGAAAGAACAAATTCAAGAAGCATTTTTAGGGCGGCGAAAGAAATAATATTATAATAATGTTGTAGTTTCATTTAGTAGAGCTAAATTCCTTCCTTTCGAACTGCCATACAATATACCTACTGTCAGTAGTTTACGCGAGTAGTACACATTTAAATAAAGCACTTTAACGGTTTAAAATGCGATATATTTAAGAAACGTCGGGCCGTAGTGAAAAAAAAATCAAACAAGTTTAACTAAAATATATCGCGTTTTAAACCGTTAAAGTGTTTTATTTAAAAGCCATACGATATGACAAAACGTTAAGCACGACCTATGGGTTTGATTCCTGGGAAAATATAAATTTTATGTGACAAGCACACGATGACCATATTTGACCTTTTTGCCCATATTTGGGACTGTAGGCTTGTCTGGAATTCTTATATTATAACTAATAATAATTAATGATGAAATATCAAAGATTCTCCGTCCACAGATAAAAAAGCTGTTAAGTTTAATCAAGCGGAAAATAGTTTTTCGCACTAGTAGTGCATATTTTGCATAAATTATAAAAACTAAATAGCTGCACCTGTAACTCGCCTCTCAAAACAGAAGCGCCTGGTATTTTGGACGAGCAAAATGTTTGATATTCGCAAGCATTAAATGTGGGATTATACTAACACTGAGTTATTTTACGTACTCTTGCTTAGTTCATATTATATTTACTGAGAGTAAACATTTCTGAGTTAGAATATAAGTGCTCTAAAGAAAATCAAATACCCAGTCTGCCTCGGTGAATAATTTAATATTACGTATAACTGGAGAGAGAGAATATTTGAAATTATATCTCTATGTTTATTATGCTGGTGAAGTTTACGTCTGTAGTTTATACTGGCAGTATATAATAAAAATAATATTACTTTTTTTTTTAATACCGAAGCGTTTTTTAGTTTGCATTATGTGGAATAACTAAAAATATATAATATAAAGAAATATAATACTTTTGAAATTATACGTATCTTAGCGAACCCCAATTACCTCCAAAACTAGGTTTTAGCATCACATAACGAAATTCGTATTAGTGCAGTTTACGCAAGTTACACACATTAAAAACTCACTCTCAACAGTTTAAAACGGGAAAGTTTTAAACATTCATAAATGAACAAGTAGTTATAGAATACATTGTTGTTTTGAGCATCAAATTATATTTTTACAAACCTCCTCATCTTTATTTTGCCATATGAAGTATTTCAACGATATGTGATTATAAACCATAAAACGGTTCTCAGTAGTGAATCTTTAAAGAGAGACATATATCGTCCCAGACACTTATTTAGATTATTTCAAGAAGAATAATTATTTAAAACATATTTTTGGGTATCGTGAACCGTTTTGCCTCCATTTCATTTCCTTCGCTTGCGTGACGTTTTATAGCCTAAAGCCTTCTTGGATAAATGCTCTAACCCATACAAATTAAATTCTTCAACTTCAACAACAATATTAGTATAGATTAAAGAGCAATTGCTATGTTTCTCAATAACACTGGGTTTTGTATACAAGTATGCACTGTGACCTCATGTTTTCTAACCCACCGTTAGCCTACAACAAACTTAAGTGGAAGCCCATTTACTAACAATTTGACGTAAAACAGAACGGCACAAATCGATGTTAGTTTCCTTCGAACCGAAACTTACAATGCATCGGCGCTTTCTCCTTAAACTTTACAAATACACGCGAAACCGTATTTACAGTAAATCGGTCGTGTTGTTCAATACATTTTAAAGTGCATTACCGCTTTGCATTTATGACATACTAATTCCTTTAAAAAAACCTCTTTAACGGTTTATTTGTAAACCTAATTTGAAAATTATTTTAACTACGGCCCGATGTTTCGGATGCTTTGCAGCAGCCGTGGTCACGGCGAGAATTTGAGTCGTGTCTCTCGGAGTCTCCCCGGTACGTGAGTTTACCTAATATTCGCCTTTTAAACCGTTAAAGTGTTTTATTGAGATGTGTACTAATCGCGTAACAGGCAATATTTATACTCTTATCAGCGCATTTCTTGAGTTTGTGACGAACTAATTTCACAAGAAAAAAGCGAAATTCTATTCCTATATCACGTGATATTTTATACCTGAACGATGCTAAAGCTAAGAACACTCCGTTCTAGTATTATTATACAATTAACAACCAATGAATAAAATAAATAAGTATTCTCCTGGTTCAAATGTGTTTTCTATTTGTCCTTGCAACTAATTCTTTATTAAAAGAATCGATTTTATATAACCAAGACGTCTAAAACAGTTTAAATAAAAACATCGGATCATTACGTGTTCATTTTATTGTCCTAATTAAATAATGGTGGTTATTATAGTTTTAATTTATATTTAATTTTCTAACAATTACAATGTTACCACCATGTGAGAATAAAGACCACTTTTTTAGACACGTCTTAACCATCGATTAAGTTTTACAAGTTCGCGTTTATGTATCACAGCTCACAGAACGGTATGTTTATTGTTTAAGTTTAGCTTAGAATAGAGATTAGTTAACCGCAAGCTGATCACAGCTGTACAAACTTCCAACTATTCAGTAAACCAACTTGTTGACGGTTCAGCTAAATTCAATTAAACTTAACCAAACTAATTGTTGGTTGCCGTGTAAAGGTTCTTCATACACATCGCGATCGTTTGTCGAAAGAAAAATTTAAATAGCTAGTTACTTACGCAACTTTTAACGGTTTAAAATGGGAAATATATTAGTTAACTTGTTTTAACTACCTCCTCGTGACCACGGCTGCTTCGGCGACACGTCCGAGCGTTATTATAATAGCTAATAAATTTTGCGTTTTAAACCGTTAAATACGATTTATACAAATAGATTAGTTACTGATAGATTTCATTAAATTCCATTCAACTTTAAATAATAGAAATCATCTATCCATCCGCACACACTTTCACAATTATAAGAATGAGATAAATGGTATGTTTTATAAAGATAGCTAAGTCTGCAATTGAATTATTGATGTTATGCGACGCATAACGGTTTCATAAAACGGTTAGAATCTTTCCTTTTAAAATAAGGTCTAGAATAAGACAAAATCACCGAAAATAGCAATCAATATGTATTTAATAGGATAAACGATGTTTAAGTAAAACACTTTAACGGTTTAAAGCTATATATTACATTATATTAGCTAAACTTTAACTTAGACTTTTGTTTTATTCTAGACTTTATCTTAAAAGGAAAGGTTCTAACTTTTTTATGAAACCCTGAAATGTATACTACTCGCGTAAACTCAAGATAGTATCTAAGATAAATGATTATAACATCCATATTTCTATAATCTTTCATTTTCATTACTGAGATTAAAGCGAATTGCATCTTCTGAAGTAGACATATTCGTGGGTCCGTATCGAAATTGTATTTACAGGCAAGTGTATCAGAGTTTGATGTCGCGGTCGGACATCATTATGTTTACCTAGGGCTTGAACCCAGGGCCTCTCGAACTTAACGCAAAGCCTGTAAACGTGAACCTTAATAATTCTAATTTCAATTTTCACATTGTATAATTATAACTTTCAAAACCTATGTTATCATGGACATTTGTAATAGTTATTAATAGTTCCCTTCTGTATTGTATTCCTTGCACGTCATAGATCATTTCTGTTAAGTCACTTTTGTCACCTAATTTGAATTTTACATTGTATAAATATAGCTTTCACTATTTAGCATATAAGTCAATATTGTATAATTTTGCCCTCTGCAAACTCATCATATAAAACAGTAAAAACAGTTTAGCATTGTATTCCTTTAAAATATAAGACCATTTGTAACTCTATATAAATTGTCAAACTTTTGTAAAGATAGCTTCCTTTTAAATGTAACTTCTAGGTTAAGCGACGTACTATTCATAGAATCATTTGTAAATAAAAACCTAGCGCTTAAAGGAACTTCGTGGATAGTTTGTATCAAATAGCAACAACCACGAAGTTCCTAAAACTTTACTGTATCATTTTCAACCAAATTAGAACCAAAGTTAAAAAAAAAAAACCTTAATAATTAGTTATATCATAGTAATAAGCAATTGTACCAAATGTTTTCTTTTTTGTACAATTTAGTCTTCACTCTCTCATTGTATAACTTTACGTCATTTAAATAAAACACTTTAACGGTTTAAAACGCGATATATTAGTTAAACTTATTTGAAAATGATTTTTAACTTCGGCCCGACGTTTCAAATAAGTTTAACTAATATATCGCGTTTTAAACCGTTAAAGTGTTTTATTTAAATGATATATATTTAACTTTACGTCATGTTGTGTCTGTCTACAGATGTTTTAGACATTTTTTTTTACCTTTTTAAAGTATAAGTTACAATCCAAAAAAAACACAGAGAGAGAGATCGTACGTGATGTTTCTTTTTAACGATACTCTACTTCTCTATTTCTACGCTACGTAACGTCACAATTAACAAAAAAAAATGTATTTCGTGTGAAGAGCCCTAATGAAACTTTAATTATTCAAAGTGCTCGCTAGCTGTATTACACGAACAAATTGTGTGAACACAGGGTGCTTTAATAGTTTCAATGTACAAAGCTATCAGAGCGACTTACCCCAAGGCATTGCAGATAACAGCTTTAATATCATGCGCAGTTATTGTGATTATAAACTCGCCATGCGGTGCTACCGCGCCATATAAAGGCGAATTTACACTTGTCTGACGTGACGTGATGTGACCTGACGTCTAGGGTTTCATGTTGCGCTCTGTCGGGTTATCCAGTTCTGATTTGATCTGATTCTGAAGTTAGAGTAACAGCACGGAGCACTGTAAAAGCCGGCTCAAGTATTATTTTCTATTAGGGGCACCGTCAAAAGACCGGGTGATCAGTCTACATGATTTGCTGACCATTCCACCCATCGGCTCAAGTGTTGCTCGTGTCGTTAATTTTTTTCGATCGAAAATAGATTTTTAATCAATGATCGTTGTTAATAAGATTAGATTCACATCACAAACCCAATTAATTCTGTCGCCAGCGCATGACCAGGTTAGTGATAGATCTGAAAGTG